GAAGTATATATATATATATATATATTTATATATATACGTATCAAACGTGAAACGAGACCCCAGCAAATACGAGTAAGACTACAATCGATACTACGTAGATATATTTCGATAGAACAATTCGATAACCTCGATATAATATTCAATAAATAATTTTATTTCCTGTACACGGTATACGAATCGCTTGTTCGCATGTACAATGGACAAGAATAGTAGATCGAGACAAATGATGGTGCAGTGACGTTGAAAAATGTTTTACAGTCGTTTAAAGACACTGTTTGCTGGGTTCTAGTCGAGTGTGATCGACGGACAAAGAAGGGGGAAGAGTATTCGATCGAGGAACGAAGCAAACGTCGGTTAGAAAAGAAACGAACATAAAGCACGACGATTGCGCCTCATCTGCCGCTCGTTTCGAACGCAGTTCGCCTATCAGTTACCCAAATTCGAAGGTAAAGGTGCTATTAAATATTTGCCAGAGTATTTATCTTGTGGTTGGCGAATTGTTATTGCTGCCGCGTTATTAATGAGAGCTGCGAATATATCCAGCCGTAATATCAACGAGAACGTTCGAAAAGATTCATGAAAATGGCAGAGGGTTAGAACGCTACGATATTACGATACTACGAAATAAAACGTTTCGGCAAAAGTTACCGTACATAAAGCAATAACGATTAACAATAATAATAACAGTAGTAATAATAATAATAGTAACAATAATAATAATATTAACACTAGCAATAACAATAATAATAGTATACATAACTAACGAAATAGACGATTTCATAGAAATAAATGTCGCGAGGAAATGTAATTTAAGGAGAAGCTGAACGTTGGTTAAAACGAGCGACCGACAAGGAAGAACGTGGTACGATGTAGAACCGGAAGTGTAGAACGGGAACGGGTGTGTATTTCCTTGTTTTATTTCTCTGAACATTAGGACAAAATTGTAATCAATCGCTTATCCGTTTACCGTAAATCCAATAATGTCTGTAATAATGAATTAGCGTTATATTAAATGTACCGATGAGAGATTTTTTTTTTTTTTTAATAATCACACATTTTCTACCTTTCTCGCTCTCTCTCTTTCTCTCTCTCTTTCTCTCGGTCGACGCTCTCGCTTCTCTCTCACTCTCACACTCGCTCTATCGTACTCTCTCACACCCATTCTCACACTGATTCTCGTTCTTCCTTTTCCAGCTAGTTGGCGCTGCTGCCAACAGGGCGATGTCGATCGGCGTTTCTCCCAAACAAAGGGACGAGGACCGAGCCAAGATCTGCCGGAGACTGACATCGTGGAAACGCTGTTTCCTCATGGAACGCCGATTTCGTCGCTTTTCGACCGTTCGAAGAGATTTCGACATCGGACAGAGTTTGGAAATCGAAAGCAGAGAACCGGATTCGCGATTTTTCGCGCGTCGAAACCATCGTCTCGGTCATTGATCATCGCGTAACGTCCGAGAAGATACGTGACGTTAATGGAATATGGAACCAAGAGATTAGATTACTCCGCTATAGTTAGATCACCGTGATCTTTCGCCGCTGATAATCTACACGAAGCTAAGCTCGAGGACGAATGAAGATATAAACTTGAAATTAGTCGGAATCAAAGACGAGTGATATATAGTACGAAGGTTCGAAATTCGTTTGATAGTTATGCAATATATATCGAGAGAGACTATATCGTTATTTATTTTAATTTAGGTGCAGAAAAATGCAGGGTATCCAGGAGATCAATGACACTACGATGAATTGCTGTTTCGAGCGCGGAGGGATCGAGAATGAACAAAATTTTCGAAACTCGTTTTTCTCGGCGTAAAAATTCGCTATTTTCACCACGGAAGCTTTCATTCGATTCAGAAAATAGCGTATTCTCGAAGAAACGTAACCTCTGTCCGATGACCGCGATTCTCTCCGTTTCGCTCGTCTCGCCCTTTCTCGCTCTCTCTCTCTCTCGCTCTCACTTTCTTACTATCTTCTCTCTTCATCGCAACGCTCAAGAAGTAAAAACACGAATGTCGCGCGGAATTCGCCATCGCAGATTGCACGTGAATAATTCCTCTAAAATGCGCGTGACGGTAATCATAGTAACAATAACAATGACAATATAATAATGATGACAGTAATAATAATGACAATAATATCAATAAGAATAGTAGTGAACGTTTACAATCTATTACATATCATAATCTTTTTTTTTTTTCACCTTTTTCGTGATTTTTTCATTTTTTCGTTTAGTCGGAGGGGACGTCGCTCAAGATTTTATTCGAGGCACAGTTGGATCGCACGTCCGCTAAAGAATTTCTATTCACCATTTCTTTCTTTCGTTTCTCTCTTTTTCTTTGTTTTTCCCCCATTTTCTCAACTCGCGTCCGCCATCGCGAATTTAATGGTGGACACTTCGAACTCGTTTTTCTCATCCTCTCTCCCGTGTATGTGTGTATCCGTGTGTGTGTTTCCACTTTTGCCCTTCTCTCTCTCTCTCTTTCTCTACCAGTTTTGCATCTCTCGTTCTTCGCGTTTCGTCTACTCTTATCAGTTTTCCTCCCCTCTTTTCCACATTTAACCCGCCTTTCACGTATCGTGCTTTTTCTTACATTATTCTCTGGTTTCTTTAAGCTCGAAAGGGTTTGTTCTTCGTTATTATTTTATTATTCTCTTTTTTTTTGAACAACGTTCAAAACGTTCGGCCGTTCGACGCGCACGCTCGAGGATAAAAAAAGCAAGGATTAAAAAATCGCACTGTCTCGCGTACGATTACATTTCGATATTTTTTTTCTTTTTCTTTTTTTTCCTTTTTTAACAATCTCGGCGCGTTTCCATTTCATTCTCATTCCTTTTACAATTCCTTTTCTCGTCTTTTTTCGCTCGAGCTTCGCCTCGCGATTTTGCAACGTAGGAGATATGTAAGTTTATCGACGCTGTCTTAAAACGAGATCGAATGGTGAATTCGAGGGTTACGTTTGTTTAATCGTTATCGCGTTTGACCGAGGCAACGTACGCGTCGAAGTCGGCCGAGATCGGGATATAGATCATCGATCCGATCGGCCGGATGACGAGAATTATCGTGCAAAATCAACCGAGCTGTACCTCAATTAGATTATTATGTATACTGATCACGCGCACGCATGCACAAATAGACGCACGCACACGCTAAAAAGTACAATAATTAATAACTCTATGTTGCGTACGTAGGTAGGATCGCAAAAAGTTACGGAACGATAAAAAACCCTTCATAACGCGGACACTCGAAGTAGCGTAAGACGAAAGGAGAGGTCAAAATAGCCGAAGACCGCGTCTTTACGTTGCTCTCTCCTCGCAGCCGCCATCTTTTATCGGTTTCGTCGATTCTCGCAGGAACGATGTTCCGTTTTTACTTTCTTTTCTTCGTTTTGCATTTTCTTCTTTTTTTTTTACTCTTTATTCGCGCGTGTGTACTTTTTCGCCACGAAATGATCGTAAGAGAGGATCCACAATCGTCTGCGATCT